AGACTGAGAAGTACAGTGCTGAGGGGAGCAGCGGGCAGCAAGTCTGCCGTGCCATGTGGGTCACCTCCGGGTCACAGGATCGAACTTGCACTGAAGTGGCTGCAGCCAGCTCCCAGTGCTGTGTCCTATTCCTATGCACCACTAAGGAGAGCCAGGGGTTTCTTTTTCTTTGGCAACTACCTCTTTAAATTCAAGTTTGGAAATATTATCTTAACTCAAGAGTAGGTAATCCTTTGGATGAAACTAGTAGAGTTAGTTTCACACAATAGGCCATTGTTCTCGGGCATTATGGTCCACTTAAGCTTCCTGGAACTACTGACTAAAATTCCTCCTGTAGTTGCTGACTGCACCAGGTCTAGAAGAATAATCTACAGTTGCAAAAGGATTTTGGGTTTGAAAGTTTTCACACCAATCCAGATGAAACTATGTCAAAGGGCAGAACTGGACAAGTTCAGCAGCAGTGCTTCATCTAGTAACCTTGTATTTGTTTCTGTATATTTGGAGGTGGGGTGGAGCCAACATTGATTTAGCAACACACTTTCGCCACCTATATGCTTTGTACTCCTTTGCAACAAATGCGTTTAGTTAAACATTGACCGAGAACCTATTACATGCCATAACTTGGTAAATGTTAGGAACGCCATCTTCTTAGTTCTAACAGACACTATTTTTCCTCATTATCACCCATACCCATCAACAGTAAATACTGCAGTATCCCAGAGGGTGTCCTGCAACTGACTAGCATTTAAAGCTCAACTGGAAAGCTGCCAGCCCTACTCGTCATTCTTAAAGGATTGCCATATGGTTCTCTTAACTACATCCCAGATTGCATGCCCTGTAAACTTGACGGTCCACATTACTCTTCGTGGTTGCCTCTGGGGAGCGGAAATAGGACACAGGGGATCTGAGGCCCACACGTACCATTGTATACATCTTTGTATAGCTCGATTTTCACCCGGTGTTTTGCGACTTCTCTGATCGCTGGTGAACGAGCCCGCGCAGCTGCAGACCCTCGTGCGGCCAGAGGGTGGTGTCCACGCCCCCTCGCGGCGCCCACCTCGCGGGCGTGGGTTGGTGAGCGGGTGGTTGCTGCCCGGGCCGGGAACCGCCGCGGGGAGGGGCTCTCGGCTTGTGCGGGTGCTGGAAGCTTTGCTCACAGCGCTTGCTAGCAAGTTGCTGGGAAGCAGCTCCGGGTTGCAGGGCAGGAAAGTGCCCACCCACCCCTCTCCCCTGGCAAACTTTCAGCCGCCGCGACGGAAGCAGGAACTTGCGAAACTCAACCCCCGCTGGACCGGGCGGGAGCTGCGGAGCATCCCCACCCTTCCTCCGAGACCCCGCGCGGAGCGGCCCCCGGCCCCGCGCGCGCCTCGGAGTTGGTCTGGCCACGGAGCACGACCCGGCTCCAGTCACTGCCAGGTAAAGGCGTCCCCGCCCTCCCCTCGGACCCTCCGCGGGCTGCGTCGCCAGCCGCAGAGAGCAGCTCCCCGCATCCCCAAAGGCGCCCGCGCGAGGACCTTTGCGGCGCTGGGTACCCCAGAGGGGGGCTGTAAGCGGGCTCAGTCGCACCTGTCACTAATGCCACCGGCTCCGCGTCGTCATGGGGGAAGCAGAGTGGTTTAATGAACGACAACTAGGGGCATTTCCCTATTTTTTTTCTTATATGATTTGTTTCCTGTATTCAAGTTGAACCTGCTGAGTGTCTAACAGTGTGTTTGGGTGGGGGCGAAGGGACGGGGGGAGGGGGCTTATAAACATTGTCATAAATTAGGTTAGATGATGCACTGAGTAAAATGATTTCCGGCAATTATGTACAAGTACTGTGACACTGTAAACAGCCCAGGTGTTTTTCTCTGCCTTTATCCTTTTCCCTCTCCAAACACAAATCCAACGATTTTTAAGGCCTAAATAATTAATAAGGAGCAGAAAACTTAATTTACCTAGTGGTTGTTGGGTGTCTATCATGAGAACTCGGATGGGGAGGCTGTAGCCATATTGCTTGCTGCACGCTCAGCTTCTCTCCCACCCCCTTTCATAATCAGGTTTCTTTGCTAGAACCTGAGGACAGACTGTCAGGATCCATTCAAAGCAAAATATTGACCTGACCTGTTTTTCATCTTGTTTCTATGTGCTTTCTCTAGGACTAGAAATAAGATGTGCAAAGTGTGATCACATAACAAGTAACTAGTGGCGGGATTCTTAACCTGGGGACTCTGTGAACTTGGGTGGAAAAATGTATTGTTTTACTATCCCCTCACCAAAATGTAACATTTCCTTTAAGAGGCATGTAGGGAAACGCCATAGTCCTACTAGAGGTGGGCCTTTTAGTGCTGGAATTTGCCAGGTGAAGAAATCAGATATTTTCCCATCATGCTATTTACTGCACCTATCTCAAAATTTCATTTACATTGAACACTACTTCAAAATTAGGGCAGTGATAAGGTTTTACAGGTCATAGGCTATTAAGGAATCATAAGTAGCACATAACAGTTTTGATTCTAACTGAAGATAGGACGATCTCAGAATTCTTGTGCCAGTTAAGTGACATGGTACAGGTGAAGTGCGTAGCATAGAGGTGGATGTATGAGAAACATAAATATAAGAAAAACATGTTAATTATTTTACTGTTTACAAAATGTACCCTATTAAACTGTTTTCTATTGCTATGTACTGATGAGTGGGGTTTTTTTTTTTTTAAAACCAGTTTGTTGTTTTTCACTAAGGGAAGTCTGTTTCTGGTGGAGTTTACTTTTTGTGTGTACGGTCTACCCACTGGGACAGGTGGCATACATGTTCCCTGACAGTAGCATGCAGAATAGTTGCAGTGCCCTCTGTTCATCCCTCCTCTCGCTCATCCCTCCTCTCTTCCCTCTCCCAACCCCTGGCTTTTTGGCTTTTCCAGGGTAATAGGAATCTTTCTTTACAGATTGGCCTCTTTCATTTAGCCATTTGCAAGTAAGGTACTTCTGCCTCTAAGCTCAATACCATAAAAAATTATATTTATTGCTGAATAATATTCCTTCATTGAATGTAGCCACATTTGACTTATCCATTCACTTTTAAATATATATATATTTATTTATTCATACAGAACTGAGTACAGACCAGAGGTGCAGGGGCAGTGAGGGGCTTCACCAGAAACAGAGCGGGGAGCAGAACAGGCAGATGTACTGAAATACACTGCTGAGGGGAGCAGCGGGCAGGTCAAGAGAAGTCTGCTATGCCATGTGGGTCAGCTCCATGGCCGGGGATTGAACTCTCACTGAAGCAGCTGCAGCTAGCTTACAGCCTGCGTCCTAACCCATTGCACCACCAGGGAGGGCCCTGCATTCACTTTTTGAAATACATCTTGGTTATTTTCAATTTGGGGCAATGATGAATGAAATTACTATGAACATGAATATGCAGGCTTTTGTCAGGATTTGGTATTGCCAGTTTTGGAAGTTTAAGCCATTTGAATAAGTTGTTTTAATTTGTTAATTCCCTATGACAGTGACAGTGAATGTCTTTTCATGTGTGTGATTGTGGCCTGTATAGTTTTGGTAAGACTTGTGCTCTGATCTTTTGCCCAAAAAAAAAGGTTTTTAAGTTTTTTGTTTTTTTTTTTTAAAGATTTATTCAGAACAAGCATTCAGGGGACAGGCTGGAGGTGCAGGGGCAGTGAGCAGATTCACCAGAGAAAGAGTGGGGATCAGAGGGTGAGGCAGGAGAGGTCTGCCACGCCATTGGGCCACCCCTCTGGCCTGGGACTGAACTGGTGCTGAAGGGACTGTGGTCGGCTTTGTCCTGCTGCACTTTAACCCGTGTGCCACCAGGGAGGGCCCTGTTTTATTTTAAGTTTTAAGTATGCTTTGTATTTCTCTACCTGTCCTTTATCACATATGTGTTTTGCTGATATTTTCTTGTAGTCCATGGGTGATTCTTTCTTTCTCTCAACAATGTCTTACACAGACCAAAGTTTTTAATGCTAATGAAATCCAGTCTATCATTTTTTTTTTCTTTCATGGATTGTGGTTTTAATATAGTATCTAATTAAAATTGTGATTTTAATGTATTATCTAAACTTATCACCTAATCTGAGGTCACAAAGGTTTTCTCTGAAGTAATATTCTTAGAGCTTTGTAATTTTGCATTGTACACTTAAGTCAGTGATCCATTTGGGGTTAGTGTTTATGAAAAGACTAACGCCTTTGGCTGGATTTACTTTGCATGTGGGTGTCCAGTTGTCCCGCCACCATGTTGAGAAGACTGTCCTTTCTCCATGGACTCCCTCTGCTAAGGATCAATTGACTGTATTTTTGTGGGTCTATAGCTGGGCTTGCTATCCCACCTCATTGGTCTGTTTGTTCCTTCACTGATCATACTGTCTGGGTTACTTTAGCTTTATAGTAAGTATTAAAGTTGAGTAGAGTCAGTTACCCAACTTTGCTCTTCATTGTTGTATTAACTATTGTAGGGTCTCTTTGCATTTCCATGCAAACTTTAAAATGGTTGTTGATATCCACCAAAAAATTGGAATTTTTTGGTTGGAAATATATTGAATCCAGGGTCAAGCTGAGAAAAATTGACCCCTTAAGAATATTCAGCCCTCCTGTTGTTGAACATGGGCAATCTCTCTATCTCTCTGGGTCATCTTTGATTTTTCCCATCAGAGTTGAACAGGCACCTTTAAAAAACTCAATGGTTATATTTTGGTATGCATTCTGTTGTAATCCTATGTTTCTTTTGATGCCTCTTAAAACAGAACAAGTTTCTTAAAAAGATCCTAAGTTTTACTAGACTATCAAAGGGTTCAGGAGAAAAACAAAAGGTTAAAGAAGGAGAACTCCTGTTCCAGGCTATCATCCAGTGAGCAGTTTATATTCTGGAAATGGAGGAGGGCTGTGTAAGTAAGGATAGTTTTTGGTGAGCTCTGTCTGCTTAACATTTATTTTTATTTTTCCTAGAAAAGCCAACTTTTCAGTGGAGTTGGTGTTATGGCTACTGTGATTTCTATGTTTTTAGGGATGTCAAAAAGAACACATACTCCTAAATAGTCTTTCAACAGAGTCATCACCTTCCTCCTGCTGACCAGCCAATTCTTGGGGTTCAGTGACTAGAGCTACCCGCCTCTGGTTTCTTACTTAAAAAAGGCTAAAGCAAGCAAAGCAGTTTCCACTTCCTCACCTGTAAGATATAATAGCTTTTTTTTTTCCAGACCCAGCACAAAAATTAAATAGGATGCCAATATATGTAAATTTCTTAGCACTACACTTGCAGTCCAGTGGTTATTTATAAAATGCCAGTTGTTAGTTATTGCTGTGAAAGAAAATGTGCCCAGATCTCTGACCACTTCACCAGTGACTAGAGATTTTGTATCTTCTCTCTTCTTGATTAGAAGAGGCAAGAAGGATTCTAGAACTCAAGAGACAGACTAATGGGTTTGTAGGCTTCCTTCATAGGCTCAAGTGTAAGTTAATGCATGTGTTTGTGACAGTTCTTTGCCAATTTTTTAAATAAGAATTTATCTTAAATCTATTAAAAGTGAAGCAGATTTTAAAATACTGGTTTATTTCTGTCCTCCTATAAATGGTGAGCCATTTGCATTGCCTTGAAGGAAGTAAAATCTTTCATCCCTCAATTTGTTCACAGAAACAAAACTCATTGATGATTTTCTATTTTTGCTCTAGAGAGAAATTCCACCATCTGTGCAGTTGTCTCCAAACTCAGACCAGAGGACATTTGACTTTTGAAGACTAAGACGAAACAGAAGTTAAAATGTTCTTCTGGAAAGAACAGAGCTTGACATACACGTTTGTGATGATTTGTTTCCTCACACTAAGGCTATCCACCGGCCAGAAGTGTCCCACAGAGAGCCTGGAAGATGTTGTCATTGACATCCAGCCATCTCTCTCAAAGGGAATCAGGGGCAATGAGCCCATACTCACATTAACTCCAGAAGACTGTATTAACGCGTGCTGTTCAACAGCAAACATAGCAGGTAAAGGACAGACTCTTGGTCAGTTTTATTCTGCGTCCACTTTATTCCATGTGTTTGTGATATAAGTAGCTGGCTGAATAGCCGAACCATTTATACTCATGATTCTCAATGGGATGAAAAGTTGGGTAACAGAATCCCTGGGGAACTTCCCACAAGTATGAGTGGACTACTCTCCGCTGAGTAGTGTCAAACTTCTGACGAGTGTGTGTGTTCCGACATGTGTCTATGTGCGTGAGAGAATGTGTATGTATGTCCTTCTGGTTCCTGGTTAGAAAAAAAGTTTGAGAACCACTGGGTGTTAGAAATAACAGGCATTAGGATATTGCATACACAACTGCTTAGCTGCTGAATACTTTTCAAAGTTTATATTGGCATACAGTGTGATAATACCAAGGACATTTGAACAGAGGGACGGCAATAAGTAAAATTCTCAATTCATGCCATTGGAAAATGAGCATTTGACTTTTAAGCAGAAGCACAAAACCTTATTTCATCTCCCTCCCAAAAGCTGGTGCAGCCAGATGGTCAGAGGACCCCAAAACTCTGCCCCATCCTACTAACTTATGTAGCATCTCAGGGGCTCAGTTGTTATGTCTGATACATTTGCATGACAAAGAAGGAAACTGAGGCTGTGGATTACATTGTGCCTTTGCATATTTCAGACTCCAAACCTGTGAACTGAGAAGTGAACTGATGCTGTTGTTCATGGGATGTGTTGACCCCATCCTAATTCTCAAAATGAAGAAAACCCAAATTTGATGGAGTACATAAAGCTTTGCTAGGTGCTGGAGATAAAACAGTGATGGGTAGAGATGAGCTAGTGGAAGCTGGATTAGTGATTCCTACTGATCTTCTCGGCCTTAGGAGCTTTTCTCTCAGATCTTTATTTCCTTTGCTTTTTATAATGGTTGTGGCATATGAATCAACATATATAATTTAAATAACTTAAATATATGCAAACATGGAAGTGATTAAATGCATTTAAATAACTTAAACATAGTGAAATAGAATCTAAATGATTGAATACATCTCAATCCTTTGAAGATAATCAAATTTAAACAGTGATTACAGTACTTAGTCAAAAGTATATAGTTATGTAGCAGTATGCTTTTATGGAGTAGTTTAAATACAAATGGATATATATATATATATATATATATATATATATATACCCATATATATACATATATATACATGCACACACACACACACATATACATATATATATGGTTTCACTGTTCCTGGTACAGAGTTCCTAAAAAATCCTTACAATTTCCTAAGCACCAAGTTTCTTTTGTTATTCCTAACACACCCCTTTGACCCTACCTGAGTATATATTTAGGAGACATCTCCAGGGTCTCCTAGATAGCTTGTGGGAACAGGTTACCAGAAAACAAAGGCTGCATACAGTCTTGCAACATTCAGGTGACCAACTTAGTCACCAGTGGCTGGTGATTGGAAGCACCTGTGCCTCAGTAAAGACATCTCCAGAAACCACCGCAAAGCATAGATGGATTCAGGGAGCTCCCAGTTGGGGAGTACATGATGTGCTCCCCATAACCAGAGCACACGCCAGCTCCACTCCTCGGGGACAAAAGCTGGGTACTCAGCACCCTTCAGAACTTTGACCTCTCCCCAACATCTCTTCATCACTGTTCTTCGTGCCCTTGATGATGAGCTGCAATTGTAGGTATAGCATTTTCCTGAGTTCTGGGAGGAGTCCCAGCAACTTACCAATCAAACTTGAGGTTGGAGATTGTGGACACATGAATGTGTAGCCAAGTGAGGAGTAAGCAAAAGGGAGAGAGAGTAACCTGGGATGGACATCTGGAGTGGGGGCTTCCAGACTGAGCCCCTAAACCTGTGTGGTCCGATGCTAGGTCCAGTTGATGGTGTCAGAATGGAATCGAATCATAGGACACCCTAGGGTGTGGAGAATGGAGGGTCAGTGTGGAAAAGACCATGATAGCTTGGTTTGGGGAGGAAAAGAAGCCTTGAGGGGCTGTTCCAAGTCAGGCAGTATGCTTTTGGACACTCCGTAGAGAAGTAACATATGGAAGTTGTAGAGATTGCATTTAAATTTCTAGCTTTTCTTTAAATTTCCATGTCCACATTGATGTGAAATAAGAAACATCTCTTGTGAACGGGATGCCAAACTGTGGGTATTTCCCAAAAACTCAGAACACCTGGCAGATCTCCTTTGCCCCATGGTGTTCACTGATGCAAAAGTGAAGCTTTGCCACAACTCTGCAGGTGAATTGCTGTCCCTCCTTGGCAGTAAGCAGAGATTGTTGTAGGTCTCAGATAATGGATCTCAGGCTCTTTCCTCTTTACCAAGCAATGGCTTCTTACCCGCTTAGGGTTCACAGAGCACTTTGATATTTGCTGATCACCATGAATTCTAGAAGAATGCCTGAAAATACAAAGACACAACATTTTGCATATAACTTGGGGGACAGGGGTAGGCTATGGACCTCCACTTTACTCCAGCGCCACCTCCCCCACAGGATTGCAGAATTGTCACCATGCAGAGGAAAGGAAACTATAGCTCCTTTCTTGCTATGGGTAGTGGGAGGAAGATACACTAGAACCCCCTGCAGAAGGTAAGTCTTTTTTCCCCTCAGAGGAATCAGGGTTGATCCCTAATCATTGCCTGATTTGAAGCAACAGTGTGGTGCCTTACAGAATATGTGCCCCCCCCACCCACATACCGAGATACAATTGGCATCAAGCTTGCATAAATTTATGTGCAAGAGATGATTAGCAAATCATGTAAACAGTGAGAAACAATTACCACAAAAAGCCCGATAACACAGTTACTTTTGTGTGTCTGTGAGAAAGAGCATACTTTTTTAATTATTAGTCCGTGTGCCCCTAAACCTTCTATCTGGAGAGGGGTGGGAAGTTGGGTGGGGGGGAGTGAGGATATAGATCCCTCAAGGTCACAAGCCATATTGAGAAAATGCACCATACTGAGGTCAAAGCAACTCTAGGCCATGACGAATGAACAGGATGCAGAGAAATAGCAGCCAGAAGTGGATGTTAGGAATGACGCATGTGGGAAGAAGGAAAATATAGAAAAGCAGAAATGTAAAGAAAGCACCAAAATAAGAACACTGCTGGTGAACATTAACCAGCCGTAGGTTATGTAATAGAAAAGGCACCCAGATCTTTTGTGGAGACCTTTTTGAAAGTCCTTGTTAGAATGATGTCAACAACCCTAGAATAACTATAGTGGACTCAAGAGTCACTGTTTTGAAAGAGTTAAGACCCATGTGAAGACAGAAAATTCTAGTATTTTTGTCAGTCAAGTCTAAACTCAAGTCATAGGCCATTCATGACTCAGATCCTTTATGCAAGGAGACTTGTGATATAGGAATCTGAATTTATGGTGTGCACCCCCCAAAAGCCACACCCACAGCTTCAGAGGTAGCTGAGATGCTTTCAGGATACAATATGTGGGGAATCACTAGGGACTGTAGCGACCTGTTAGGCCCCCACTCAGCTGTGGGATGGGTGCAGACTAGAAAGTTAATACTCCTATGCAGATGCAGACAGGTCATTTAGCAAATGCAAGGTCTGTTTCTTTTTTTTTTTTCTTTAAGATTTATTCATTTATACATAGAAGAACTGGAGCATAGGCCAGAGGTGCAGGGGCATGAGAGGATTCACCAGAGACAGAGTGGGGAGCAGAACAGGCAGATGTACTGAAATACACTGCTGAGGGGAGCAGTGGGTAAGGCAGGAGAGGTCTGCTGTGCGGTGTGGGTCACCTCCCTGGCCAGAAATCTAACTAGTGCTGCAGTGGCTGCCAATAGCTCATAGTGCTGTGCTTTAACCAGTTACACCACTAGGAAAGGCCCAGAAGGTCCATTTCTAAAGATATAGATGAACTGCTAAAAATTGTTTTTGCCAACGGGCTCTCTCTGGTGGTGCAACATGTTAAAGCACGGCACTATGAAGATACTGGCCGCTACTGCTGTGATCCACATGGTACGGCAGGCCTCCCCTGTCTCCCCGCTGCTCCCCTCAGCTCTCCCCTCAGCAGTGTTTTTCAGTCAATCTGCCCGTTCTGCTCCCCACTCTGTCTCTGGTGGAGCCTTTCATCCCCCTGCACCTCCGGCCTGTACCCCAGTTCTTGTATGCATAAATAAAATCTTTAAAAAAAATTGCTTTTGCCAAAATTACCTTCATTCGGATTGTTAACTCCAGTGTCTTTAGAAATTGCTTTAGTGACCAAACTAAAGAAAAGGAAATGATTCAGTGGTCCACAAGCCATGAGCAGAGGTGTTTGTGTTGGACACCAGATTCAACAGAGTTCTTCCTGCTCGCGGTACTCTTTCAAAATAATCCTAAGGAAACCTTTTGTTACAGGTGACAAAGTGTGTAACTTGATGATCTTTGATGCTCGGAAAACTCCCAGACAGCCCAACTGCTACTTATTCTTCTGTCCCAGTGAGGAAGCCTGCGCGCTGAAGCCAGCAAAGGGACTTAGGACTTACAGGATAAGCCGAGGTAATGAACACGTTCTTTTTCTTGTTGAGACTGGGATTATTATTTAAGGAAAAGTGCATCTTATATGAAATATTTTTTACAAGAATCCCAAGTAAAATTGTCCTAAGGGGTCACATCAGGAAAACCTTATGATCTACAATTGTATTTACTGAACCAAACTTTTTTTCCCCACTGGAAGACTTGAATGATAACATTTTTCTTCTGTTTCTACCTTGGTAATAGAAAAGGCACCCAGATCTTTTGTGGAGACCTTTTGGAAACAGATTGTTAGAATGATGTCAGCAACTCTAGAATAACTATAGAGGACTCAGTTGTCACTGATTTGAAAGAGTTAAGCCCCAGGCGAAGATAGAAAATTCTAGTATTTTTGTCAATTATGTCTAGGATCAGACCCACTGGATTTTGTTGCTTAGATGTGATGGGAAATTAAATAAATATTTCTTAAGAAGCTACCATGTGCCTATCATATATATTTAAAAAAAGAAGAAGAAGAAGAAGAAGCAGCAGCTACCATGTGCCAAAGTCTATACAAAGCACAGGGAGTAAAATCTCTATCTTCATGAAACTCACATACTTGTGCAGAGCACTGAAAACTACTGAAAAGATATAATTATTTGAGTATGTCTTGGTGAGATTTTGGGGTTTTTCATTTTTCCAGATGTGATACGTTGTAGATCAGATTTCCTTTTAAGTTTTTAAGACTTTTTTGGTCTTATCCTTGACAAAAGGAGACAGTCTGTTCATTTATTCAAAAGATAATCAATATTATTTAGCTTCTCTTATGTGCCAAGCACTTTTTATGCCCTCTGAATACAAGCATACACAGTGAACATGAAAAATAAGGTTCTTGGGCCCTCTCTGGTGGCACCAGGGGTTGAAGTGCCGCACTATGACGCTGTCAGCAGCTACTACAGCAGCATGTTTGTACCCAGCCAGGGAGGTGACCACATGGTGCGCAGACCTCTCCTGTCTCACCTACTGCTCCCCTCAGCAGTGGATTTTGTTCAGTCTGCCTGCTCTGCTCCCCACTCTGTCTCTAGTGAAGCCTCTCACCTCCTCGCCTACCCCCCCACCTCTGGCTTGTACTCCAGCCTGGTATGCATAAATAGAGCAATCTTTAAAAATAAATAAATAAAAGCCACTGAAGTACTCCTAAGTTGCTGAATTTTGTGGGGGAAAAAAGAACCCCTCAACTGAGATCTGCACAGCATGGAGTCAGATGGCAGAAGACCGTGGGAAGGCCTTCCAGGCAGAGATAAGAGCCCGCTCTGATATCTTTAGGGCGAATGATTTGGAGTGTTTGAAGAACAAACACTGCAGTCCCAGCTGGCTGAGTCTGAGTCAGAGTGAACCATGTGAGTTATTGGCAAGAAGTAAGAAAGATGGGCAATCCCATCAAGCTTTGTAAGCCAGGGAGGAAATTTGATTTCAGATATGCCATGGTGAAGCGGTGTAAGTTTTTTTGTTTTGTTTTGTTTTTTAAAGATTTATTTATGTAGGGCCCTTCCTGGTGGCATAGTGGGTTAAAGCACAGTACTAAGAAGCTAAGCCACTTCAGCATGAGTTTAATCCTTGCCCCAGAGGTGACCTACATGGTGTGACAGACATCTCCTGTCTCACCTGCTGCTCCCCTCAGCAGTGTACCTCATCAGTCAGTCTATTCTGCTCCCTGCTCTGTCTCTGGTGATGCCTCTCACTGCCCCTCTGACCTGTACCCCAGTTCTGTATGCATAAATAAATATTTTTAAAAAAGAACTGGGTACAGGCCGGAGGGATGGTGGGTGAGATCGCTAGAGACGTAGTGGGGAGCAGAACAGGCAGATTGACTGAAGTGACACTGCTTAGGGGAGTAGCGTGTGGGTCAGGAGAGGTCTGCTGTGCCATGTGGGTCACCTCCCTGGCAGAGGATCAAACTCGTGCTGCAGTGGCTTCAGAGAGCTTCATAATGTGGTGCTTTTAACTCGTTGCACCACTAGGGAGAGTCTGGACATTTTTTAACTTAGATCAATGAGGCCTCAGAAATGTTTGGGGTATGGACGTGGACAGTGGGCAGTGACATAGGCAAAGGGACATTGCAGGTTAGGAGGTAGGGCCAATGTCCAGGCAAAGCCCTTAGCCTGTGGCCCAGGAGGTGGGAGAATTGGGGAGAAGGAGACACATAGTTTTGTGGAGGTAAATGTTACAGGGCAGAATGAAGGATATCTTTGGACCCCCAAACCTACATACCCTAAATAGGTTCTGCCATTCACTATATCAAGACAAAACATAATCTAGTATTCAAGACCTTCAACAGAAAATAAGTTATTCAACTAGTATGTAATAAAGAAAACAAGAATATAGTTGGCTTCCAATTAAATACCCATAATTATCCACCCCCTCAGGGGCAAATGCCTAGGCAAACAGGGCTGGCCCAAAGCAGAGCCACTGAGCCTGAAAATTTGCCACAAGGTACCTTCTGGTGCTTTCTGATGGGGACCAGTAGGAAGGGGTAGGTGGGACCAGACCAGTCTGGAAAAAAAGAGCAAAATCAAAATTAAGGTAAGGCTGTCATTGTCAGCCACCCACTGGGTCTCTCTGAGAGACCCATGTTTGTTTCAAGTGTCTCCTTCCATGTCCCCCAAGTCCCTGGTATAAGTCCAAGGCCAAGAAGCAATGCAGCTTCTTCACATGTCTCTATTCTGAGGGCTCCTCCAGGCCTCCTTGATTTCCTTCCTTCCTTCTGGTCTTCTCTAGCTTCTCACCCTGCTCAGCCCCACCCTTCCTTAGAGTGGGGCAGGGAACCTGGAACCTCCCATTTCCCTGAAACCCATCCTGTTCCAGAAGTCTTGGCTGAACTAAGTCCTGATTTTCAATGTGAGCGTCTCTGTAGGTGTTAGAACTTACTGAGTTGGGGAAGATGTGAGGAGGAGATTTAGGGGTGGGAGGTGGAGTGTAGCCAAGGGTTCTCCATGAAATGTGAAGTCCATTTGGGAATGACATTGCTTGAGCACTAGTGTAGACTCCACTTTGTCCCCTGGCTGAGGCTGTGTCTGAGTTTTGCTCCTCAGCCAGGAAACCTGATGTATCAGACATTCCTGTAAACAGAAGCAGGAAGCACAACTTAATCGTGTACATGTCTCTTAAATAATGAGGTGACCCCAAGTGTAAAATGAGGGCACCATGAGATACAAAGTCCAGATTTGGGGGACAAAAAAGTTGGAGCACTGGATGGAGAAACATTTACATAACACAGTTACAGTCAGTGCTGCGCAACTGGACACTGAAACAGTTCGTGGTAAATGTAAGTGTATTTTGCCACAATTAAAAATGACTTTTAGGGCCCTCCCTGATGGTGCAGCGGGTTAAAGCACAGTGCTAAGAAGCTAAAGCCACTTCAGCATGAGTTCAATCCCCGCCCTGGAGGTGATCCACATGACGTGGGAGACCTCTCCTGACCCTCCCGCTGCTCCCCTCAGCAGTGTACTTCATCAGTCTGCCTATTCTGCTCCCCATTCTGTCTCTGGTGAATCCTGTCACCACCCCTGCAACTCTGGCCTGCACCCCAGTCTGTATGCATAAAATAAATAATCTTTTTTTTTTTTTAGATTTATTTATTTTTGCATACAGACCTGGGTACTGGCCAGAGGCTCTGGGGCGGCAAGAGGCTTCAACAGAGACAGAGTGGGGAGCAGAACAGGCAGATAGATGAAGTACACTGCTGAGGGGAGCAGCGGGTGGGTCAGGAGAGGTCTGCCACACCATGTGGTCACCCTCGGGGCAGGCGGGAATCGAACTCATGCGGAAGTAGCTTTAGCTTCTCAGTGCTGTGCTTTAACCCGCTGCGCCACCAGGGAGGGCCAATAATCTTTTAAAAAATTATAAAAAAAAAAAAGTGAACGACCAGTCCCAGCATATGTGTCTAGTTATCCATAATTGTTTAGAATGGATCCACTCTAGGGAGTACAGTACACACACTAAAAACTAAGTGTACAGTGTAGAAATAAAACTTCACCTACATCTCAGGCTAAAAACACCCAGGTTTCTTTCAATTACATGAAAAAAAAAACTTTAAAGTAGACAGAAATGTTCATAGTTGCTGGGGCAGGATAGAAATTTTAGTTGACTTTGTTTTATAATATTCATAATGCATCTGTAATGTTGCTTTTATGCTGCATTACAAAAGAGTGAGTGTGGCGGCCGAATACTACTCAGCTATGAAAAATGAAGACATAGTGCCTTTGGGGACAAAGAGAGTGGATCTTGAGGTGATTATGCTAAGTGAAAAAGCCAAAAGTGAAAGACAGTGACTTGATCATTTACTCAGTTTTTGCGTATAAATAACCAGAGAAAATAAACTGGCAAAACACAACAGTTATAATTCACAGACTCTGAAAATTGTGCTGGTTATTGGGGGTGGGGAGGTGAGGGGAGGGAAAAAGGGATTGTGATAGTCAATAGGCACTGGAGTTTTGGTAGAGAGTGAGCGAGGCATGTGTACTCTCAAAATTCTATAGCTATGTAAACAATTGGCAGATCCATAAGTTTTGAGGGAAAAGAAGAGGGGATGTGTGGTAATGATTCTCTCCAGTGAAAATGGGAGAAAAGGGAACCTGGCCACCTGCATAAACCTTTTAAGGACAACTCTGAAGGTGAGGGACAGAAGTAGAATTGAACAGTTCCTGCGGTAGCCAGCAGGGGGCGCCATCAGTCCAGCTCAAGGAGATTGTCATCTAGGGGCCCGGGCGCCCATTTGGGAGAGTGTGCAGTGACAGTTTATATCTACAGGATGCTTTCAAGTTCTGTTTGTCATTCATTGTATGAATCTGCTCGTGCTGATGGATTGAAATTGCCCCGTAAAAATAAATTATCTGCCTCCTGTTTGGATTGAAATTAAATAGGTATCTGTTGAACGGTTTCTTTCCAGGCGAGCTCTGATTAATATTTACAGAGCGAGAGCTTGAAAGATGGCAGAGGCTTGTTCTTATTCATTCTAACCAACCATTGCGGCGCCGCCTTATTTATTTTTGCGGCTTTTGTGCTAAGTCGTTCTTTACCAAAGATGAGAACGGGAGAATTCCAAGGTAGTGAAAACTGGGAGTCTGGTTACTCAGCCAGTCTCTAAGTTTTTTCACTCTGTGAAATCACTTAAAAATGTAACTCAGTGGGCCCTCCCTGGTGGCGCAGGGGGTTAAAGCACAGCACTAAGAAGTTAAAGTCACATCAGCATGAGTTTGATCCTCGCCCTTCCGGGAGGTGATCCCACAGGGCGCACAGACCTCTCCTGACCCGCCCGCTGCTCCCCTCGGCAGTGTTCTTCCTCCATCTGCCTGTTCTGCTCCCCACTCTGTCTCTGGTGAAGGCTCTCACCACCCCACACCTCTGGCCTGTACCCCAGTTCTGTATGAATAAATAAAAAATGTAACTCAAAAAGGGGGCTGAGGGTAGGAACTATTTCCCAGCCCCCTCTGCGGCTGCTACCTGCGTGGCCCAGAGAAAGTACTGCACCCCAACTGCAAACATCAGAGGGTGAGGTCCAGGAAGCAGGTGTGAAGGAGCCAGAGCCAAGTTTCCCCAACAGACCAATCTTATCAAGAAATGGGACTGACCTTCCCTTTGCTTTACTTGTGAGTTTGCATTTTTGAGAAAGAAAACAGCTGTTTTTGTCAGTCTTATCATCGACCTATTTAAGTTCTGCCCCCACACACATCACAGGACATTTACTAAAATTGTCCTTTTTTTTTTTTTTAACTTTAAAATGGAATAGGTTGAGTCTTATTTTTTAAAGTCTCCGATCTTACCCCAGCCTATAGATGCTGTTTATCTCCTGGTGATGCTTTGTGTATGAATGCATTATCACCTCCAGCAGAAATACTTTTCTTCGGCATTGGTGGAGGAAAGAGGCACACCAGGCATTTCAGTCTACTTTTAGCAGAGAGGACTCTATCCTAGAGCAGGTATCCACAAACCAGGGGCCAAAGAATACGTTTTGTAGACTTTTGCCTATTTCACCTGGACAATATATAAACCAAGGTGTGTGTGGTTGTGTGCCAAGTAAAACTTTATGGCTGCACACAAATGTGAATTCCATGTTAACATTAATGTGTCACAAAATACTATTTTCTTTTCTCCAACCATTTCAAATGGTGGAAACTGTTCTTGGGTCACAAGCCATGCAAAGGTGGTAGCTGCCTAGATGTGGCCTTTGGGCCCTGAGTTTATGGAGCCCCATTTACCCAGGGGTCTGACATGAATGAGCAGTGGCTGGAGTCTGTGGAATAGATGTGGATGCATCAGTAACAGTTCTAGAGAATGTTGGGGTGACATTTGCAGGGAAGCCACAGACAGCGCAAAGCAGAGGTCTTGCTCTGTTGCTAGAAGAAAGGGGAGTGAGGCTCTTTTAGGGTGACAAGGTGAGGGGACAGGGTGATTCTGGGTGACAGGTTTTCTGCAAACTTGATTTAAAAACATAAAAAAAGTCTTCAAGGCTGGTTCCTCCCAGAAAAGTGACTGTGACTTTCTCTTCTCTATACCAGCAACCAGGCCTTTCAGGTTGTGCATTGCTCTTCAGAACCTCATATGCTGGTTCCAAAATGTTAATCTTCAGAGTCTAAATAAAATCTCCCAGACTGACCTCCCCCGCCCCATGGTGACGCTGAGATATCTTTATCTTCCACTGAGACCTGACCTGGTGCCCTCAGGGAGACCAAACTGTTTTTGGTGTGTGTGTGTGGGGGGGGGGGTGCCTTGGTACCCCCTCATCCCAGGCTTCTGCTCCTCTCCACACTGTGCCAAGGTCTGCTGGTATTGTTTTGCCCCCGCCCCCATCTCTTCTGGTGACTGCCTGCTTCCCAGCTATCCCTGGGGACACTGAGGCTCATCTCCACACCGCCTCCTCCCCGCCCCCTCCCCCAGTCCTCTTCCATCCACCAGCCTTGACCCCTGAAATGTTACCATCGTCCTGACCTGCCAGGCTGAGCTCTTAGCCTGTCTGCCTGATCAGCCATTCCTTAGTTGGCTGGTCCTCCTCCATGAATTCCTCTATTCTCTGGTCCCGTCACTCTAGAAATAGCCCACAGCATCTGGCAGAGAGGCCGAGTCATCCAGTTCCCATTTAACAATCTGTACTTTTCCATCTTGCAGAAGTTTCAGTGAAATATCAAGTATCAGCCATTCGAGGCCTATTAAACAAGCTGGTCCGTGTGTATTTTGTAACCTACCTTAGCAGGGGAATAGTCACATCCTCCTTTTCTTAATGTTTGCAGAGTTTCCATCTTTCACCAGAGCTGATGTGTGGCCACCAGCAGTCACCCCCACACCCCATCTTCTGAGGGGCTCTTCAAAGACCACTGAGATCTTTCAGGGAGATGTGTTTCCTGGGAAGCTTGGATCGTCAGGTCACTTGGGGAAAATACTGGAGATGGATCAAGTGAGCACACGATTCCCTGCTTATGAAGAAAGAGGCCATTCTCAGAGTTCACACTTTCTTCCAGAACGAAAGACAGCTGCTCTGCTGCCTGGAAATGTGACCATACTCCCCACTACTGAGCCTGCCGCTGCTCCACACACCCCCTCAGCCACTTCAAAGCCAGCCGCTCTTCCTTCCACCAGTGCTCCAGTGACACCTTCTGTGGCTCAGTCACAGGTGGCCAGCACGGCCCGACCACAGGTGTCCAGCACGGCCCCACCGCAGGTGGCCAGCATGACCTCACCGCAGGTGGCCAGCACGACCCCACCGCAGGTGGCCAGCAGGACCTCACCGCAGGTGGCCAGCACAGCCGGACCTGTCACATCAGTCACCTCCCAGCCTTCCACAGCCCTTGTTTTCACACTTCTGCCACACGCACTGGTTACAACCCAAGTTAGTGTTCCACCTACCACCTTTCAGGGGCCTGTGGACCTGAAAAGCCCCCCAGGATTGGAATCCTTCAGGGAAACCTCCAGCCTCCCTGGGAGCACAGGAAACCCCCCTCAGGCTGCTGGTCCGTTGTCCGATGCATCAAATGGGGTTCCTTCTGCTGTGAAGAAAACGGTCTCTGGGGAAGCTTGGGCCGGTCCCAGGGCTCCCTTCCCGAGCAGCACTCTGGAGGGCCAGTTTGGCCTTCCGCTGGAGAAGTGGCTCCTCATTGGGAGTCTGCTCTTCGGGGTTCTCTTCTTGGCCATTGGCCTGACACTCCTGGGCAGAATGCTTCTGGAATCTCTCCGCAGGAAGCGCTACTCCAGACTCGATTACCTGATCAATGGGATCTATGTTGATATCTAGGGGTGAAATAAGAGGAATCAACTCATTTAGAACTAGCAGCCTAAGGAATTTCTGGGACCTGCATTCTCAGCAGGGTTTTGAAGTATTTTCAAGACAAATGCCCCCCCCCCCTTTTTTTTTGAGGAGGGGGAGGAAGAGGAAGCAAATTAGGTAATTTGAATCATCTGCTGAAAGCGAAACTCTCCTAAAGTAATAAAGTACAATTGCCATATAAATTGGAAAATGAGCAGCTCTTTGCAAAAAAAAAAAATAAGGAAGGGGGGGTGATTTAAGTTCCTTGATATTTCTGGTTCCAGATAGAACCAACTGTTTATGATATTAATTCTAATGAATTTACTTTCCTTTTTTATATGAATTCCAACAAAACTCCTTCCAGATGTATTTCCTTCCAATTAAATATTTGAATAAATCTTTTGTTACTCAATAATGTTCTTAACGGGCATGTCCTGCTGGACAAGTTTCACTTTATTCCCACCAGCAACATGATTAAGTGATGAAAATATATGTCCCAAGTTAAAATGACAACCTCCCCCTCTTCCCGTTACTGAGCAAAGACGTTCCTTTGGGAGAATTTTAACCAAATCCTAGGCCTACATGAGAGCGAGGATAAGTCAGTTCTGCTAAGCAGCCAGATCTCCTTTGGCTCTGTTCTAGTTAACTGTTTTTTCCCTTGTAATAAAAAAAGAAAGGAATATAGGCAATTCCTAAACTTTACTAAATTTAAAATGTAACAGTATCATTTATAAATTCTTAACTTACTCAACAGTCAATTTTAGCTTTATTTGGAATAACATTAGATATAATACTAGATAGGGCCCTCCCTGGTGGCCCAACGGGGTAAAGCGCAGCACTGCAAAGCTACTATACTAGCTGCAGCCTTCAGCATCTGTTTCATCCCCGCCCGGAAGGTGACCCACATGGTGCCGCAGACCTCTCCTGACCCGCCCGCTGCTCCCCTCAGCAGTGTGCTTCGTCTATCTGCCTGTTCTGCTTCCCACTCTGTCTCTGGTGAATCCTCTCACCACCCCTGCACCTCTGGCCTGTACCCCAGTTCTGTATGCATAAATAAATAAGAGTAATATCTGGGAGGCTGCTGGTTGATTTGACACCCCATCTCTCTGGATTTAAGTTTACTTATCTACAAAATGAGATTTAGGTGTCTGCCTTAATCACCAAGCTTCTTAAAAGTACAAATTGAAATTCAGGTGAGCACTTCATACAGTGAGCACTAGAGGGCAGTAGCTGGCTAATGAGCTTTGCAAGGAGTTACATGAAATGGGCTTTTTCTCTTTTCTCACTCCTCCCTGTCTCCTCTTGTGGAACTCCCTTCTCCTTCCCCCCAGTTTAGACTAAGCTCATAAAGCTCATTAAGAGGAAAGCTGAACTATTGAAAATACAACTTTTCATATATTTTCCAATTTAATAACATGACACAAATCTCCAAGGGAGTTACATAAGCTTTAAGTAGGCTGAACAAATACAACTTTGAATCAGTTGAATTTAACAAGTATTTATTGAATATTCACAGAGGCCAGAATCAGACTAGTAAGCAAATCCCCTCGTTTACAGAGCTGGAGAGTGGAAACATGGCTTTCTGTGGGTGCTTATACAAGCGTCTTCCTGTTTTCCCCTGTAGCTATACCTGCTTGCAGCCTTTGTTGTGATGGAGAAACATGTCAGGAGCCCAGATGGGAGCCAAGTTCAGACCAGTGATGCTGTGGGTCCACACGGCCCATGACCATGCACATAGACTATAGTGGGCAGCTGGATGACAGAAGTGTTCTTACTGCTTATTACTCCCCTCTCTGCTTATTACCCCACTCACAGGGGAGGAGAGTGGGAGGCCAGGAAGAAGCAGGCATTTGCTTTCATTGAACTAATTGAATAGGAGGTGACCTGACCAACCTTTTAAACAAGGTGAATTGGATTATGAGCCACCTCCTTTGATTTGTGGGACAGGAAGGTAACAATTAGGAACAAATGAAATGCTTAGGAAGATTCTCCCAGCTCCAAATCGCCTTTCGCCATATTTCATCAAAGAGATGTTCACTTGGTCAGATATACCTGCTAGGTTCTTTTTCCATTGTCCTGGCCTGAGGGAGCCTCCTTAACTTTTTCGTTCCAGACTGGGGCAAACACTATAGGTTATCCACCCAACAGCCAGCCCCAGCCCCACTTTTATCTCTTTAGAGGTTGGAAGTATTGGATTCCTTTCTGGCTGTTCTGGTAGATAAGGATGGGCCTGTGACCCAGTTCTGGTGGAAAGGAAACCTATGAGAGACTTCCAGGAAAAGTTGTCCTCCTTGGTAAGAGAGGGCTGCACAAAGAAGAATGCCCCCAACCCCTGATTTTCTGTTTGGGATGCTGGTCACGCGTGGACTTGATACTGGGAGCAGCTGCAGCCTTTCTTTTAGGAGGGGGGAAATCACTCACAAGCTGGGCGAAGCAGAGTGGGATATGGGGAGGATTTGGCCCTTGATAATATGGTCAAAAAACAGCACAAGGACGCAGCACTACAAGCTGGCCGCAGCCACTCCAGTGTGAGTTCAATCCCAGGCCCCGGAAGTGACCCATATGGCACTGCAGACCTCTCCTGGTCCACCCTCTGCTCCCCTCAACAGTGTATTTCATCAATCTGCCTGTTCTGCTCCCTACTCTGTCTCTGGTGAATCCTCTCACTGCCCCTGAACTATACCCCAGATCTATATGCATAAATAACTAACCCTCGCTCCACAGAACTGTCCGTCCATCTGTCTCCCCTCCCACAAACCCCCAACTACAACCACACAGCCCTTCTTGCTCTTTCTCAAACATACTATATGCTTACATGAGCCACGCTATGCCCTCTGCTTGTGAGCCCTTCCCTTTCATCACTGAGCCACTTGCCACCCCTTCGAGACAGCATGAACACTGCCTCCAGCCATCTGCTCAGGTCTCCTGGGAGAGGTGTCATCACTCTCCGTCCTCTCAGGCTCCTGCTTCATGCCATTGGTGAGATTCTCCTGTGGCATCTTCTAAGATAATCAGCTTACCTATCACACCGCTGGACTATGGAATGTTAGAGAGCAGAGTTCCTCCTGGGCTTAACAGATTCTCTGGCACACTCAATAAATGATGGTTGAAGTTCATTCCTTCTGGCGGTGGGCAGTAACATGATTTGACGACACAGGCAACAAGTGCTACTTCTTGAAGAAAAAACCCAATCAAGACCCCACTTCGATGTATTTTCAGGGGAATGGATCCAATCTCCATGTACACTTTTACCTTAATGAAGACACTATGTGTAGGAAGCAATAGATAGGTTGCAGGGCAGGGAGGGGACACCCCAAAACCCCCAAACCCGCTCACTCTAAACAGATTCTGCCATCCGCCGCATCAAGACAAAACATATAAGACCTTTCATGGAAAGGAACTTTAATACAATGAGTGTGCAATACAGAAGAGACAAAGAATATCGTTTCTAAATCAAACACCTGAAGTCACCCATCCCCTCGTGGGCAAAAGTCCACCCCAAAGGGATTGGCCCAAAGCAAGACCTGGAAGCTGCCACAAAACTAAAGCACCTTCTAGCAGGGACCCATAGAAAAGGGTCAGAGATGGCCAGACAAATCTGGGAGGAAAAGAGCAAAATCAAATTCAAGATAAAGCTGCCATTGTTAACCTCCCCACAGGTCTCTCCCACATCTGTTTCAACCAGCCCAGGACCAAGAAACAAGAGCCGCTTCTTCACATGTGTCTGCTCCCTGTGCCTCCCTCAGGTCTCCTTCTGGCTCTCTTCCTGCTTGCCTAGTGTCTTAGTGTCTTCTTCAGATTCTTCTCCTCCTTGCTCAGCTCCAGGGAACCTAGAGCTTCACTTTTTCCTGGGGACCACCCTGTTACAGATGAGCATTCTGATTTTGCATATTTCCTTAGAGTTGAGACAACAAGTTTCCCTGCCTACAGAAGGTGAACTGTCAGTGTGATGTGCTCTTAATATTTTTGGTTAGGCCCTCCATGGTGGTACAACGGGTTAGGACGCAGCACTGCAAGGGAGCCACAGCCACTTCAGTGTGTGAGTTCAATCCCCGACCTCGGAGGTAACCCACATAGCACAGCCGACCTCTCCTGTCTCTCCTGCTGCTCCCCTCACGAGGAGACCCAATCTGCCTGTGCTGCTCCCCACTCTGTCTCTGGTGAATCCTCTCACCTTTGCACTACTGGTCTGTACCCAGTACTGTATGTATAAATAAATAAATCTTAAATATATATATATATATTTTGGTTAATTTTTATATGAAAGCACATTTTAGAATACTTTTATAGTCAAACAAGACTCAGCATCTAAGTCATCTGTCCTCAGCTGATGAAGTTGGTTATCAAAAAACAGTGAACACTGAAACTCAGAGATCCAGCCAACCGAATCAGCAATTATCCAGCGCCCTGTGCCCCCAGAGAAAGGCGGTTCTCTGTGGACATAATGCACTGTCATACACCCCAAACACCAGGGACAACTTTCAGTTTCAGTCTCATATATTCCCTCATTTATAACATCTTTCATAAACATATGTCTTTAATCTTTGTTCAATGAGAAACATCTATTGCCATTTCAGTAACAGAAAACAAGGAATGTAGGTCTTGTGAACAACTAAATTCTGTTTCAATGATTATAGGCAAACATTTTCTTTATCTACGGTGGATAGAATTACTTTTGTGACTCTATTTGTGTTCACCTTTCACGTGGGTAATCCGCCCTCCTGGTAATTCAGTACTTTCTTTTAACCTCAGACTCATTTATTGTACACTGCCTGTGGCTTGAACTCACACCCAGTTTTTTCTCCTCAAATCTTATTGCAGTGCAGTAAAGCTCAGTAAGGAAGGACTCCCAGTCTCCCTCTCTCCCTTTGTCCTGGCTTTTCCAGGGTGACAGTTCCCTCGGTGAGAAGCCGTAAACATGTTAGCTTTAACGCCTAGACTTTCCTTCAGGCTTGAAAGGGGCTCAAAGGCCAAGTGGGATGGGATTAAAAAGGCTCTTGTAAGAGGGGGGTCCCCAGGAAAAAGGGAGGCTCCAGGTTTCCTGCCCCACACAAAAGAAGGGTGGGGCTGAGCAGGGTGGAGAACAATCTGGAGAGGAGACTGAAGAGGAAGCAAGCAGGATGGAGAGCCAGAAGGAGACCTGAAGGAGGCACAGGGAGCAGACACATGTGAAGAAGCGGCTCTTGTTTCTTGGTCCTGGACTAGTTGAAACAGATGTGGGAGAGAGACCCGTAGGGAGGTTAACAATAGCAGAGTTTATCTTGAGTTTGATTTTGCTCTTTTCTTCCCAGACTTGTCTGGCTATGTCTGACCCTTTTCTATGGGTCCCCGCCAGAAGGCGCTTTAGGCTTGTGGCGGGCTTCCAGGCCTTGCTTTGGGCCCATCCCTGTTGGGTGGACTTTTACCCACGAGGAGATGGGTAACTTTAGGTGTTTGATTTAGAAACTATATTCTTAGTCTTTTGTGTATTGCACACTCACTGTATTAAAGTTCCTTTCCATGAAAGCTCTTATGTTTTGTCTTGATGTGGCGGATGGCAGAACCTGTCTGTTTAGAGCGGGCATCCCATAGCTGGTCCCATACGTTGGCAAGACTTTATCTTGGCTCTGCATAGGGATCTCTAAACCCAAAATTATAGAAACCTGAAAGAATCATGTAGTAAAATCATGTAGGAAAAGTAGTTTGGAGCAAGGACTTCCCTTTATAAACAAGTGAACTGGGGTGAGTTCCTGAGAGGACCCCAGCCAGCAAATAGGCATTACTGTTCAGTATTTAATGAAACTGTACTTGGTAAACTTCTCAGCCTCAGCCAGCAGCCAGTGTCTCCTAACAAACCAATAGGGAGTTCCTTGGGGGGCAGGGGGGACTGACCAGGGACAGTGGCCCCAGACCCAGTACTAATGTCAGACTCCTTTGCAAATGCCTCAAGGTCAAGAG